TATCTTCAATATATCATGTGCCATTATGTTTTTTTTGTTTGTTTATAGTCTTTTCATGGACTTACCTCGATTGATTTTGTTGAAAGCTGCTACAAGACATAATAGTGTACATTAATATGAGAATCAATGGAAATTTAGATTTGATGACCTTTGAAATTGTCAACAAATTGTATTCTGACTAGTCCTTACCTGTGTCCATATATAGGTTTCAGATGTATGCGTTTTTTTTGGTACAAAGTAGCCATTTTTATTTTTCAATCAATAGCTGTAGTCAGTTACCATGCCAACACTGACCACAACTGATGATATATCAGAAAAAACTCTTGACTTTATTATGTCATGATTTTAATTGCCATGTATAGTTACAATTTAACATAATTTTTTGATCTTGGGAGTGTTTGAAACATTAAAAATTTAGTGTGTGTTACAAATACAATTTTCTGATTCAACATGTATTGCCAATGTGTGTATTAGATTAAACATTTAGACATCTCCTTTTTTTTGGCATTTTTTACTGATTTTTAAAAATGTGTATTTCAAGTCTTGTTATGTATATTGTGGCCGTTTCACAAGTTTTACTTGTAATAATTTTGTTCAGATTTGTAATTTTCAACAATATTTGTCCTTGTACTTCTGAAAGTATTTATATGTATATATATATATATATATATATATATATTCTTAAAAGCTAGTTAAAAACAACATATTTATAGAACCCCACTGCACTTAGCTTTTTATTGCCTATAATCTAGGGGGCTTACTCTGACCATCATGGATATTAAATTAAATATACAAATTTGTTTTTGTTCATGGGTTATTTAAATGTAGTACATACCGTACTTATCCGGGTAAGAGCCCATGCCTGGACAAACGCCCACCCCCCACTTTTGACACAATAAAGAAGTTGAGGTCATATCCGGGCACACGCCCAGGGGGTCTTTTTCTACACAAAACAAAAAACTATTTTCTATTCGTTGACTGTGGTTGTATTAACAGTTGACTTTCTTGAAGTCTGTTAAAATTCTTAATTGCGTAAAACAAGGGGTGAACGCACAATAGCTGTGACAGCTTTCTGCCTTCAGGGCAGCGCGTTCACCGCTGATTTTTTTCAGAATCATAACAGTCAGCAAGTCTATAAAAATAAATATTAAAGCAGAAACGGTAGTTCTCTTTTTGAAATATGTCATGGCCCTAAAAAGGGCCGGCCGTTTGTGCTTCCTTAGAGA